CATTCTCGGGTAAAGCAGATAGCCGTGAGACGAGAGAAATGAGAATGTGCGTCAAGGACAAAGTGGGGCAGTAGTAAAATGAAATAAAATAAGAGAGGGACCTCACTGGGATTGATGAGGAGTACGTCCGTCAAACTGAGGATGATTAGCTTCAGTATCTGAACCTGGAGCAAAAAACTAATAAACACAAAGAACTGCCATACAGGAGAACATGCTTGGCATGAGTGACCACTCACAGCACCCCCACCAGCGTCGCCCTGGAGGAGACGGTGGGACTGCCATTTTCAAGGTGAGACCGCCGATAGGAGTTCCCACAGTGACTCACACATAGCTCAACAGAATTTTCTTGATGGTTTTCACCCTTTTCAGTTTCGTCGCTGGGAGCCTCGATGAGTTATCAAGGGTAAGTTATTTCACACCCCTCCCATGTCCTCCACTCTGAAAGGTTTGATTACATGAGCAGGAGCGGCACTGAGCTGGCTCTGGCCTTGGTTTGAGTGTGGCCTCAAGCTTAATCTCTCTGGCACTCATCCAGAGTTACTCAATATAAAGACTCTCTAAAGACAGGAGAGCTCCTTGGCATCACTCCCAGGGTTGTGAAGAGGGCGTCCTTGTAAGTTAAAAAGCACCGTATTAGCTTCCCTGGTGGCGCAGTGGTTGAGAGTCCGCCTGCCGATACGGGGGACACGGGTTTGTGCCCCGGTCCAGGAAGAGCCCACATGCCGCGGGGCAGCTGGGCCCGTGAGCCATGGCAGCTGAGCCTGCGCGTCCGGAGCCTGTGCTCCGCAACGGGAGAGGCCACAGCAGTGAGAGGCCCGCGTACCGCAAAAAAAAAAAAAAAGCACCCTATTAGTAAAATGTCGTTTTTGTAAGGAAAAGAACCATCCATATTCGGAGGGGCAAGTTTTCTTTCCCCATCTCCCCACCCCTTCCCTTTCTGGGAGGGGGTCTGTACTGGATATTTGCTTCTGCTGCCCAGCATCCATTTCTCCTTCTAAAATGCACCATACTTTTTCTTTGGGGAAACCCACCTTTCTCTCACTTTCAGAGCATGAGATTGGGGATGTGACCCAGGGCTCACCCAATTAGTCCTTTCTGAACCTATGGACACAGATTGTTCAGGAATAAGTCTGTAACCCAGCGTGGGTGTTTGAGGGGGTGTGCATCTGTGGGCTTGTGTGGGAGTGGCCAAGAGATGTTCTTGGTATGCAGATATGTGCTCTGCAGGGACAGGAGAAGGACACTGTGTGGAATCTGCAGAAGGTGCCAACGCCAGGACAGCCAGAAACCTGGTCCCTGCTGTCCTCACTGGGGCCACTGAACCAAGTCTTGCCTGAAGCTAGACTTTTCAATAATGTCAGTCAATACATCTGTAGTTTAAGCTAGTTTGACTTGGGTTTTCTGTCATCTACAACATAAGCAAAGTATAGGGTTTTTGGTGAGAGAAGAAGTCTTTGTTGGCATAAGAACACCAAGATCATGCTGTGAGAGATGGGCAGTAGCAAGGGAGAAATTTATTCATCTTGTAAGTGACCCTGAGAACCTGGAGTTTTCCACAGGGATGAAGTAGCCCTCTCAGTGCTGGGACCCAGTGCAGAGGGCAATGCTGAAAGCAACTTGATGCAAATGAGAGCACTGAGACCACACAAATAAAAGTAAAATAAAAATAAAAAGACTTGGGGTGTGTAAAGAAATGTTTTGTACCTTCTCCTGGATCCCACTGAGTTCATGATGCTCACAATCATCCATGAGTAAGACTTTCTTACTAGAGATACACCCACCAGAGGTACTGGCATTAACACATTGTATATATAGAGAGATTTATAGAAAAATATCTGAAAGGAGACCTGTTTTGGTGATAGTGGGTATTTCATGGTAGTGGGATCTGGCCTTTATTTTATTTATTTTTATTCTTATTTTATTTTTCAGAATTTTCTACAGTGACTATGACTTGTATAATAATAAAAAAAGTTTTCAAGTACTGTACAGGCACACAAGGTTACAAGCACTCTTAACGAAAGTCACATGGCTAGCTGTAATCTGTAGGTCAAGATTGAGCTCAAAGTTGCTTAACTTCTTACCCTTTATATCCAACCCCAGTGTCTACCTTTGCAAAATTTTGGGACTAATGATACATAGAACCTAACTGAGATGCTGTGATTTAAATGAGAGGATTTTTTATTCAAATTAAGTACATATAGGATTCCAGCTTTAGTGGGCGTTATTGTCTCCCCCATATCCATTCCACTGTGGCTCCCCCATTGTACAGGGTAGATTCTAATTGAACTGAGTTTTTCCAGGTGATCCCATTTGTATCGCCCATGCTTTCCTGTCTCCTGAGTAAAATTCTCTCACTTCCATTTTATGAATTTTGTCAAGTGGCCCCTTAGTTATCTATAAATGTGTAATTCTAATTACACATAATTCCAGTGTTTCCATTTGGTGTTTGGAGGCTATCTTTAAGGAGTCTAAGATTTTCTCTCCCTTTTCCTGCTGACGAAGGGAGAAAAGCAAAACAATTTCTATAGTAGTATCATATGCAATAGTTTTTTTGTAGTTATCCCTCCACATAATTATAGCCAACACTCAACTGTCCCTTAAGAAAATTTATGATATGACTTTCTAAACAGAATTTAGAAACTAATTAATTACAATACAAAAGACTTCTTTACCAAAAATACATTCAAGGGCTCCTTTTAAAAAGCAAACTTCTGCTGCACATAATTAAAGAATCATAGACCTTGATGGGTCTTTTATGATCATCTTTACAAATAAATTGAGACATGAAGTATTCTTTTCAAGGGAATGATCACTTTGTTATTTTCACCCAGTGTTTTCACCCAATGGGATCTATGTAGCCATAATAAAGAACGAGGACATTCTATATGAGCTGAAATGGAGAGGTGCTCAGAATAGAATGTGAAGTTGAAAAAGAAAGCTGCAAGCTGATCAATCTTAGCATCTCTAGATGTGGGGCAACCAGACAACTGTGATGGAATAGCACCAGCTGTGTATTCTTGCCAAAAAGTGGAACCTGAATCTAACCAAACCTCTAGAGCTAAGCTTTATTTATAGGAAATACAAAGAAAAGAGGAATACTTTAAATGATGCCACAAGGAAACAGACAAACCCAGAAAATGGAACAGTGCCCAGGACAGTTGGTTTGTACAACTAGTCAATGGCAGGGGGAAAGGAGGGAAGACTGTCCTCAATCAAAAGAGACTTAAGTGTCATAACAACCAAATGCAATGTAGGGAGCTGTTTAGGTCTGGACTTAAACCTATAATAAAAGGACAATTTTGAGATAATCAGGGGAATTCGATTATGGACTGAAGAGTCAGGTGCTGCTAAAACATCATTATTAATTATGTCTTGTGTGATAATGGTATTATGGTTATATATAGAGTGTCAATTTTTTGAAAACAAGATGCACACTGAAGTCTGTAAGGGTGAAATAACATGACATCTGGGATTTGTTTTAAAATGAAAGTCAGATGATTTTAAATTTGTGTATTGGGAGTATGTACTATTCTCTTCTTTTAATATGTCAGAATTTTTTTTTTTTTTTGCGGTACGCGGGCCTCTCACCGTTGCGGCCTCTCCCGCCGCAGAACACAGGCTCCGGACGCCCAGGCTTAGCGGCCATGGCTTACGGGCCCAGCCACTCCGCGGCATGCGGGATCCTCCTGAACCGGGGCACAAACCCGTGTTCCCTGCATCGGCAGGCGGACTCTCAACCACTGCGCCACCAGGGAAGCCCAATATGTCAGAAAATTTTTATATAAAATAGTAAATAGAAAATGCAAGGTGCAAAATGTATGTATGGTATGCTCTTTTGCTTAAGAAAGGAAGGAATAAGAATATATATTTTATTTTCTTGTGTTTGCGTTGGGAGGATACACAAAAGACATGACAATAGAATCCTATAGGTTGGGTTGGGGAAATTAGTGGACTTGGAGGGGTGGGAATGAGGCTTCTTAATGTAAGCTTTTTATATTGCTTTAAACTTTAGCCATTTGGATGTATTACCTAAACAGTTTTAAAAAAACAAGAAATGACAGTTAAATGAACATGACAATGTTCAGAAACAGTCCTTTATACACAGAATAAAAGAAAGGGGTTAGAGTAGATTTCTAGGCTCCTTCATGTCTAGACTTCAATGAATTAATACATTGTTAATGTTTTATAAAGTTGGACCCAGTAGCAATTCTAGAGATGAACAGAAAACAGAGTAATAATTAAAAAAAACCAAAAAACAAAAATCAGAACACAAAATCTGATGGCTAAAACTTTTAAGAGTGTTGCTTGAAGTCATGCTGTTAGTAAATCTAACCTCTGACCCCGTGTTTAATCAAGTCTGCCTTACACTTGAATATGGGCATTTGTTGGTTGTTTTTAGATATGTGGGCAGACATATTAAGGGCAGATATGAAATTCATGAAACATGGTTTATAATGGAAAAAATCTGGAGCTTAGGGGACTCATGTTCTTATTTGAAATGACCAATCATGTACCTTTGGGCAAATCAATCTTTTCAGGTCTCAGTTTCCCTTATATATACAATGAAGAAATTGAACATGATCTCTTGAGTAACTGCTAGCTCTGTGGCACTATGGAAGTACACACATAGAACAAGCTGGATATTTATATTACTTGCATTTAATAAGGTTTAAAGTGAATTACAAGGACTTCCCTGGTGGTGCAGTGGTTAAGAAGCCGCCTGCCAATGCAGGCGACACAGGTTCGAACCCTGGTCCGGGAAGATCCCACATGCCGTGGAGCAACTAAGCCCATGCGCCACACCTACTGAGCCTGCGCTCTAGAGCCCGCGAGCCACAACTACTGAGCCCACGTGCTACAACTACTGAAGCCTGTGCACCTAGAGCCTGTGCTCTGCAACAAGAGAAGCCACCGCAACAAGAAGCCCGTGCACCACAACGAAGAGTAGCCCCCGCTCACTGCAACTAGAAAAAAATAAAATAAAATAAATAAAGTGAATGACAAGGAAATTCAGGCAGAGAAGACAGAGAAAGGCCACAGGGTTTTCAGAAACTATTTCATCGTGATCTTACTTCCCTTTTGTAAATAACCATTGGCTTTTAAGGTTTCCAGACAAAAGTTACTCTCCCAGGGCTGAGATTGTTTGGGTCTGAGATGTTACCTCAGTGATGGAGAGTGTGACTGGAACTCAATACTTTCTGACAGTTAATGCCCAAAGCCTGTGGGGTGGGAGGAGAGGGGACATCTTGTGTATATGAGAGGAAATAGAACATTGAGGTCCCCTCAGTTCCCCCCACAGGAGGGGGAAAGAAGCATTGCAGAAAGGAACGCATTTTTCCTAAGTGGAAGAGTTTGGAAGTTCAGGTCAAAGTCAGAATATTAGAGCAGGGAGCTGTGCATATATCACCTAGCACAATTTTCTCATTTTATAAACTTTATAAATGAGGAGGCAAACCTAACAAGGTTATATGACATAGCCCAATTCGTGTTAGAGCAAAGGCTAAGAATTAGGCTCATGACTGGAGCGAAAAGGGCACCTAAACATGAGTATAAGGAATAGGCCATTCATGGTGGTATTTCCCACCTCCTAGTCCAGTGCCTGACACATAGTAGGTGCTTCATAAACATTGGTCACAGGACTCACCAGTTGACTGACTTGACTGAATGAATGCATGAGTGATACATTTCTACCTGTGTTTCCAATAAATACTGTCCACTTCAAACAGAGGACTATATATTATTTCACCAGAGACAGTAGAGGGCTCACTCTACTTGCCAAGAGACACTTGATGAAGTAACCCTTTTCTTCCTCTGATTATTGCTTCCTCTTTGTTGATGCGGACAGAATAAATGTCAGAGTCCTCACAGGATGTGTGTGGTCTAGCATAGGAGAGAAGCGGGGTTTCCTTTGCTGTCATCGTAGACTTGACAGTGTTAATAGAGGAGTGATTGGTCGTCAGACATCTGGTGTGCTGGGCCTGCAGTTGGGAGAGTGGCCACTGCTCCTGTGACTGGGGAGGAGAGACAGTTCCAGGAAGTACCCAGTTCAGCTGGAGAATTAAAACGGCACCTAAACAGAGCCATTCTTTGCCTTTTCTTCTTCAGAACCCATGTTTTCACATTTTTCCTTTGACTGTGTCCTGCTCTTGCTGCTACTACTTACAAGTAAGTCTGGATTTTTGGAATTGGATGGTGCAAGATGAAGATGCAAGGATGGTCATCATAATGCTAGCAAGAGCAAAAGTTTGGAAGCAACCTAAATGTCCACCAGTAGGGTAGTGGGTAAAGAAATTATGATATATCCATGATACAAACAGTGATGCTGATGAAACATAATGATATGAGATGTCTGTAAGTCATAAGGTGAATTGAAGAAAGCAAAGAGCAGAATAATGGGTATATTGGACTTCTCTGTGTGTGTGTGTGTGTGTGTGTGTGTGTGTGTGTTGCAGGGGAGTGGGAATACATGAATGCTTCTTAATGAATAGACTCTGGGAAAGGGAGCTGGGAAATGGAAAAGAGCAGGGAGAGGGCGTAGAGTTTTCATATACTTTTTATGCTGTTTGAATATGTGTGTGTACATATATATATACATATATAAATTAATTTTCAACCTCAGAACAGCCATACACTAACTTCTTATTCAGCCAAGGGTTTTTATTTATTATGTGCCTGGTGCTTGAAAAACAAAAGAGATTTGTGTTAGGATAACTGCCCTGTGTTGGTGAACAGACAACTAGCCCAGATGGGTGAGCTCTTTTCCTGGCCGACAATTACCCATTGTCTGATTGTCTGTTTCCATCAGCACTGCCCTTTGGTGTTCACAGGACCGGCCACAGTTCTCTCCTGGGGCACTGGTTTTCAAAGGGAGGTTTTGAGACCAGCCATATCAGCATGTCCTGGGAACTTGTTAGAAATACAAATTTTTGCCCCCCTCCCCCCGCCAAACTATTAAATCAGGAGCTCCGATTAATATTTAATCAGATTGATTAACTCTAAACTCTGATGGTTGAGCCCAGCTGTCTGTGTTTGAACAAGGCTTCCTGGAGATTCCAGTGCCCCTCAAGTCTGAGAATCATTGCTGTAGTGAACTGTCCTCCAAACAGGATAGGAGTAGTGGTTTCCTCTTTATTCTGCAAGGCATTGCTTGCAGTTTTCTTGAAATGGAGCAGCCTCCCTCATTGCTCTCCTTCCCTCTTTATGCAGGGTCTTTGGAAGGAGTATACGTGTCTGAGGTGGGTCAGGATGCTGATCTGCCCTGCGCCTACTCTCCACCCACCCCTGAGGATCTCGTGCCTGTGTGTTGGGGCAAGGGACCCTGCCCTTTGTTTCAATGTCACAGTTTGGTACTCAGCACTGATGGAAGGAACTTGACCTATTGGACATCCAGCAGATACCTACTAAAGAGGAATTTCCACAAAGGAGACGTGACCTTGACCATAAAGAATGTGACTTTAGCTGACAGTGGGACCTATTGCTGCCGGATCCAATTCCCAGGCCTAATGAATGATCAAAAATCAAACCTGGAGTTGGTCATCAAACCAGGTGAGTGGACCTTTGCATACTTTCTTTCTGAATGAGATTTGCCTGTGGATCATATTAAATACACTGATTGGTCTCACCTCTGGTCTTCTCAATTAAAGCCCTCAGGTTGGGCCCCTAAGACCTAAAGTTTAACAGGCCTCACCAGCAATGCCCAGCCATGTTTAATTCCCTCCATCTATTTTGAACCTCATGGCCAGGATCTAGAGAATGGAGGAAAGGCCTAGATCAGAGGTCTGAGTACCTGAGCGGTCATTAAAATCACCTGGGGAACATTTTAACTCCTACAGATGCTTGGGCTCCACCCCACAACCAGAAAAATCACCACCTCTGGAGGTAGAGCCTGAGTGCGGGGGTTTTACAAAGTCTACCCCTGATGATTCTCCCCCATGTGCAGCCAGGATTGAGAACCACTGGACTCTGCGTGTGTCGGGGAGAGGGGGCACGTGTGCTTGCATATTTTAACATTTATAGAGCATGTACTTAGTGGCTGATGGAGCTAAGTTCAAATCTGACACTGCTTCTTACCAGCTGTGTAATCTTGGGCAAGTTATTTAAACTCTGTGACCTCCTCCTCTGTAAAATATGATACTGCCTACCCTATAGGCCACTGGAAGGATTTTATGAGGTGTTTGATGAAAAACATTTACTGTGGCTGTAAGTTCCATTATTAACAATTATACTGTGATAATGATGACTGTAACACACCTCTGTCAGACATTTGGATTGTCATACACTCTCAACGAAGGTGTGTTCAGGTAGGTTTGGAAGTTGTGCATGTATTTCTCTTCTTTTGTTGTGTTTACAGTTATTTCTGCTGCCCCTTTGATTCCCTGCAACAAGCTCTCTTCTCTCAGAGAGGCCTCATCCTTACGTTGGTTTCTGTCTTTAGCCAAGGTCACCTCTGCTGGGACTCCATGGAGGGACATCACTACAGCCTTTCCAAGGACGCTCACCACCGAGGGACCTGGCTCAGGTAATTACATATGGGGTCTAGGAGGAAGCCTTTAGTTGGTTTCTGAGTTAAGAGGATTTTGAATATGGGGAAAACATGAGAAAACAGTTTGAGTTTTCTCAAATTGTGCACCCAAGATAGTGTTTGAGGTGAGGGAGGTGGTGGAAGTAAATTTGTGCTGGGAAAAAGGAGCCCTGGGTTAGGGTTCTAAATTAGTCAGGAGTAGCCCTCAGACCTGGGCCAAAGCCTTTCACCTCTCTGGAAAGCAACTTCCTCTTCTGTCTGAGGTATGGGTTCAGAGACTTTTGGATCTCACCACCCAGTATAATTCCCAACCCCCAAAAAAGAATTTTGATGAGCTATGTATTTTGCCAAACAAGGAAAGAAAAATTTCTACTATTGCCACCCCTGCATTAAAAAAAAAGGACAGTTTTAAATTAAATATGTTTAATCTAATGAAAAACTCATTACGCTGTCCTTATTATTTTCTGATTTACTCCTGGACTGGTGATGTTTTCATGAACTGACTCCAGTCCATGTTTGGTGTAATCTGGATTAGGTGATTTCAAGAATCCCTTCTAATTGGAATAAAGTCCATCATCTTCCTCAGATTTTGACCTCAGAAGGAGCAGCTAAATTCTTCAACTAATTCAACAAGGACTTTTCCCTGCCGCTTTGGAAGAGAAGATAGGGTCGAAAGAGCAGACCTCAGGTCACGTTGATCAGGGAGGTTAATCTTAAATATTTCCTGTCAGAGTCCTGGTCTCCCTAAACTCTCTGGAGCTCAGTCTTTCATTCTGTAAAATGAGGTTAATAATAGGTAAATTCCAAATCCTAATCTCATAAATCTCAGATTTAAATAAGGAAGCGTGTCTAAAGTGCTTAGCCCAGTGTCTGATCATGGTACCTACTCAATACATGTTAGTTATTGTCATTATCGGTAAGATTCAGAGGCAGAATGAGATTGTGGTTAAGTATGTCAGTGACAGGCAGGATGGGTTCTAATGTCAGCTTTTTGTATTAGTTTCATGAACTCAGTTATGTTGCTCAAACTCTGTGAGGCTCAATTTCCTTACCTCTACAATGAGGGTAATTCCAGTGCCTATGTCATAAGATTGTTGTAAAGATTGATGTGATCGTGTATGTAAAGCACTCAGCATAGTGCCTGGCCCAGAGAAAGCACTCAAATATTAATTATTATTATAGATATTAACATCAGCTCTCTAGAGGTTGAATCTTTGGTGGTTCTTTAGTCACTGGTAGCCAACATCTTTTACGAAATTAGTGAGGAAATTAAATATGGTGGAAACAGATGATCGCCCACGTAGTGGGCTAACCAAATCATACATGTGTTCATCATATGCCATTGTTATATTTTAAAGAATCCTACAACTGTAGACCTAGAAGAGACTTGAAGGATCCCACTTTCCCATCTCGTGTTTCGAGGTTCTTTACAACATCACTCCCAAGTTGGCATTTGCTGTATGCTTACACACCTTCTGAGATGGAGAGGTAGCTTCCTCACAACACAGTGCGTGTTTTTTTAGAAGTGTCTATACCATAACCAGAAGTGTCCTTCCTTTCAGTTTTTACTTGTTTGTTCCTTCCCTTTAGGGCAACAGAAATGGAGCCATCTTTTGCATCTGAGAATATAGGCAGAGCACCTACAATCTCTGAGCTTTTCAAAGGCCTGAGAAAATACTTAAACAAAGAAAGGCAATGGCTCCAAACTGTGAAAATCAAATGGAAAATTGAAATTAATTAGTATTTAATGACATGACTATAATATGTAATATTATTTCAGTTAGTTACATGCAAGTCAACTTGTGTGTAGTTACACCTTTTCTTTAGTGTGTAATGTGGGTACTTTTTTTTCAGTTTTGCAATCCTTTTTTTTTTTTAAATTTTTTATAACATCTTTATTGCAGTATAATTGCTTTACAATGTTGTGGTAGTTTCTGCTGTATAACAAAGTGAATCAGCTATACCTATACATATATCCCCATATTCCCTCCCTCTTGTGTCTCCCTCCCGCCCTCCCTATCCCATCCCTCTAGGTGGACACAAAGCAGCAAGCTGATCTCCCTGTGCTATGTGGCTGCTTCCCACTAGCTATCTATTTTACATTTGGTAGTGTATATATGTCCATGCCACTCTCTCACTTCATCCCAGTTTACCCTTCCCCCTCCCCGTGTCCTCAAGTCCATTCTCTACGTCTGTGTCTTTATTCCTGTCCTGCCCCTAGGTTCTTCAGAACCATTTTTTTTTCCTTTAGGTTCTATATATGTGTTAGCATACGGTATTTGTTTTTCTCTTTCTGACTTACTTCACTCAGTATGACAGACTCTAGGTCCATCCACCTCACTTCAAATAACTCAATTTCATTTCTTTTTATGGCTGAGTAATATTCCATTGTATATATGTGCCACATCTTCTTTATCCATTCATCTGTTGATGGACACTTAGGTTGCTTCCGTGTCCTGGCTATTGTAAATAGAGCTGCAAAGAACATTGTGGTACGTGACTCTTTTTGAATTATGGTTTTCTCAGGATATATGCCCAGTCGTGGGATTGCTGGGTTGAATGGTAGTTCCATTTTTAGTTTTTTAAGGAACCTCCATACTGTTCTCCATAGTGGCTGTATCAATTTACATTCCCACCAACAGTGCAAGAGGGTTCCCTTTTCTCCACACCCTCTTCAGCATTTATTGTTTGTAGATTTTTTGACGATGGTCATTCTGACTGGTGTGAGGTGATACCTCATTGTAGGTTTGATTTGCATTTCTCTAATGATTAGTGATGTTGAGCATTCTTTTATGTGCTTGTTGGCAATCTGTATATCTTCTTTGGAGAAATGTCTATTTAGGTCTTCTGCCCATTTTTGGATTGGGTTGTTTGTTTTGTTGACATTGAGCTGCATGAGCTACTTGTAAATTTTGGAGATTAATCCTTTGTCAGTTGCTTCATTTGCAAGTATTTTCTCACATTCTGAGGGTTGTCTTTTTGTCTTGTTTATGGTTTCCTTTGCTGTGAAAAAGCTTTTAAGTTTTTTTTTTTTTTTTTTTTCCGGTACGCGGGCCTCTCACTGTTATGGCCTCTCCCATTGCGGAGCACAGGCTCCGGATGCGCAGGCTCAGTGGCCATGGCTCACGGGCCCAGCCACTCCGTGGCATGTGGGATCTTCCCGGACTGAGGCACGAACCCGTGTCCCCTGCATCGGCAGGCGGACTCTCAACCACTGAGCCACCAGGGAAGCCCAGCTTTTAAGTTTTATTAGGCCTCATTTGTTTATTTTTGTTTTTATTTCCATTTCTCTAGGAGGTGGGTCAAAAAGGATATTGCTGTGATTTATGTCATAGAGTGTTCTGCCTGTGTTTTCCTCTAAGAGTTTTATAGTGTCTGGTCTTACATTTAGGCCATTCACATTTAGGTCTTTAATCCATTTTGAGCTTATTTTTGTGTATGGTGTTAGGGAGTGTTCTAATTTCATTCTTTTACATGTAGCTGTCCAGTTTTCCCAGCACCACTTATTGAAAAGGCTGTCTTTTCTCCATCGTATATTCTTGTCTCCTTTATCAAAAATAAGGTGACCATATGTGTGTGGGTTTATCTCTGGGCTTTCTGTCCTGTTCCATTGATCTATATTTCTGTTTTTGTGCCAGTACCATACTGTCTTGATTACTGTAGCTTTGTAGTATAGGCTGAAGTCAGGGAGTCTGATTCCTCCAACTCTGTTTTTCTTTCTCAAGATTGCTTTGGCTTTTTGGGGTCTTTTGTGTTTCCATACAAATTGTGAAATTTTTTGTTCTAGTTCTGTGAAAAATGCCCTTGGTAGTTTGATAGGGATTGCATTGAATCTGAAGATTGCTTTGGGTAGTATAGTCATTTTCACAATGTTGATTCTTCCAATCCAAGAACATGGTATCTCTCTCCATCTGTTTGTATCATCTTTAATTGCTTTCATCAGTGTCTTATAGTTTTCTGCATATAGGTCTTTTGTCTCCTTAGGTAGGTTTATTCCTAGTTATTTTATTCTTTTTGTTGCAATAGTAAATGAGAGTGTTTCCTTGATTTCTCTTTCAGATTTTTCATCATTAGTGTATAGGAATGCAAGAGATTTCTGTGCATTAATTTTGTATCCTGCTACTTTACCAAATTCATTGATTAGCTCTAGTAGTTTTCTAGTAGCATCTTTAGGATTCTCTGTGTATCCTGTCATCTGCAGTGACAGCTTTACGTCTTCTATTCCAATTTGGATTCCTTTTATTTCTTTTTCTTCTCTGATTGCTGTGGCTAAAACTTCCAAAACTATGTTGAATAATAGTGGTGAGAGTGGACAACCTTATCTTGTTCCTTGTTTTTCTTTCTGACTTACTTCACTCTGTATGGCAGACTCTAGGTCCATCCACCTCACTACAAATAACTCAATTTCATTTCTTTTTATGGCTGAGTAATGTGGGTACATTTAATATGCTTGCTATAAAGTGGAGAGGAGCCTTAACAAGTAGGAGTCCCAAGGGTCTTTGAAGCTCCTAAACCCACTTTGAGCACAGAATAAATGCAATCTCTCTTCCACCTGAAGAAGGCAGGACTGGATCATGGATGAATCCTTAGCTTCGGAGGTAGACTTGGTTTGAATCTCAGATTTGCCAGTTAATAGCTGTGTGATTTGGACAAAGTACTTCTCTGAGACTCAGTTTCTTTATTTAAAAATTGAGAAAATAACAGTACCTACCTATTGTGGTGAAGATTAAAAGATATTGTGCACATAAAGTGTGAAGCACCATGTCTGGCACATAATACATGCTCGATGGTAACTATTAAATTTATATACTTTTAAAATCATCACGTGCCTCCCCCATTGTTGTCTCCCCCCACCCCCCAGTCTCGGGTCCTCAAGGAAAAACATTGTAACTTTCTCCAACTGTCCCACCCATCTTGGTTGATGTCTACCTATGTGAAAATAAGGTGTGATAACCCAACAGTGCTCTATTTTATTGATCATTTTCAGTGTAAAATGAAATTAAAAAAAAAAAAGTTAGACAGTCTTACCATTTAAGCCAAGAAAAGTAACTATAGGGAAGCAGAAACTGGATTTACACTAGAAAATGTTGTGTGTGGTTAAGATACATGTTTACTTAGTAGTTCCACCAGTGTGATTTTTAAATTCCTTTTGGGAAATAGGAGCTAAGGTAAGTGGAAGATAATCTCTTTCCTTTCCTTTTTTTTTTTTTTTTAAACTTTAGGCTGAGAATATGCTTTTATAATATTAAAATCAGAGTCTGTAAACCAGTTCTACATTAAAAGGTTTAGACTTCTAAGCTTCCAGAAAGTGACCTTGACATTTAGAAAGTTTCAGATCCTCTGACTCACACAGAAAAATACGTTGGCATGCTTAATCTTCCCAAAGCTGACAACTTATTGGTTTTTAGAATGCAGTGTTTACGAGGTCAGGGCCTGTGCGCATCTTGTTCACTGTTCTGTCCCTGTCCCCTGTGCCTGGCATAGAGTGGGGGTGTAGTACATGTTCATCGAATGGATAGGCAGATGACTAACTAAATGAATAAAAAGGAAAGAAGGTGAGCTGGCAGCTGGGCAGTGTGGAGGCTTCATCATCACAGTGCCGAGATGAGCCTTGTTGGAGGCAGCACAGTTAAGAGTGTGTGCTTAAAGCCACGTGGACCTAAATTGGAAGGCCATTTCTGTTATTCACTAAGCTGTGTGACTTTGGGTAAGTCACTTAGCTTCCTAATTCTCAGCTTCTTCATCTCTGTAATGGGACTAATAGTCCCTACTTTAAGATAGTTGTTTTGAACGCTAAATGAGATACTTCCCTTGAAGAATTTAGTACAATGCCTGTTCATGGCAAATTATAGTTACAGTTATTATTATTTTCAATTTTTTAGGGAACAAAATACCCTGTCTCACTCTTAATGAGTAAATGTTAAATTTTTTTTAAAGAAAATTAACTTTCGTTACCTTTCAAATTCTAACCATGCCACATCTTCTTTATCCATTCATCTGTTGATGGACATTTGTACAATGGAATATTACTCAGTCATAAAAAAGGATGAAATAATGCCATTTGCAGCAACATGGGTGGACTTTGAGATTATCATACTAAGTGAAGTAAGCCAGACAGAGAAAGGCAAATATCATATGATATCACTTATATGTGGAATCTAAAAAAAATGATACATACGAACTTATTTACAAAACAGAAATAGACCTACAGACATAGAAAACAAACGTATGGTTACCAAAGGGGAAGGAGAAGGGAGGGATAAATTAAGAGTTGGGGATTAACATATACACACTACTATATGTAAAACAGATAATTAACAAGGACCTACTGTATAGCTATATAACTATAATATATAAGCTATATATATTATATAGTATAAGTATAACTATACTCAATATTTTGTAATAACCTATAAGGGAAAAGAATCTGAAAAAGAATATATATATATTCTGAGTCACTTTGCTGTACACCTGAAACTAACACAACATTGTAAATCAACTATACTTCAATTAAAAAAATGAACAAAATAAATATTAGAGAACAGTTATTTGATCTAAAAAAAGTCTCATTATAATGCCTGCCTCTGTGTCATCAGTGTTGTTGGAATTTTGAAGACCTCTTTAGGGCCCTGAGGACACAACAAACCACATATTCAAAATAGGTTTTCCTGGAAGAAGTCTCCAATTCATAGAACATAAGTAGTTGGGTACATCATCTGGACGAAAAAAATGTGGTCATCCTGAAGTTGATTTGTAAGTGTTCAGTAAGTTTTGTTTGTCTCTCAGTTAATTATTGTGAAGATAATGGAGTAGAATTAATTTCAAATAGGATTATAGGTAGCTTTTAAGATTTAAAAAAACTCATATAAAAGAAAGCATTCTTAACTGTTCTACTGGCTATTTTTCTTCTTTGTGGCAGAGACACAGACACTGGAGACCCTCCATGATAAAAATCAAACAGTGAGTAACTGTGTGTGTGAGCTGACCTTATGCTCAACTCAGAGGAAAAAAAGTATGGCTTTAGACTTCCTTCCTGCCCACTCATTCCTTGGGGGAAAATGCCTTAATCTCCCTTGGCTTCAGGTTCCTTGGCTGTAACATGTTGCTGATAACTGTTGTAACTGCAAGTCCTGTTGTAAGGATGGAGTGGGGTGATGCATGTAAAGTGCCTGTCGCATAGTAGGTGCTGGAAAACCAAAAGGAAGAAGCATTAGCATTTTGTCCTTATTCTCAAATTTCACAGCTGTATACCACTGTGGAGGGTTCGGACACCCTCCATCACCCCAGAGTATGTTTCTCCTTGCTTCCATTGCAACCCTAATGACAAAGATTGTTTGTTTAAATTTATTTATTTATGATAAGACACCAGGCAAGAATATTCTAAGCCAAAAACTTAGGTATCTAACTAAAAATAAAGCAGTATTTTAATCGACCACCATTTTAGTGTCTCCCACCTTCTCAGAGTAAAAGGGAAAACCACTAAAACAGAGGTCCCCAATCCCCGGGCCGTGGACTGGTACTGGTCTGCGGCCTGTTAGGAACTGGGCTGCACAGCAGGAGGTGAGCAGCGGGCGAAAGCTTCATCTGCCGCTCCCCATCGCTCCCCATCGCTCGTGTTACCGCCTGAAGCATCCCCCCTCCATCCCCCCCAACCCCCGTCTGTGGAAAAATTGTCTTCCTTGAAACGCCAAAAAGGTTGGGGACCACTGCATTAGAGAACAACCTGATAGCAGTGACTGGAAAATTCTTTGAGGACGTATCCAGGAGTCTGCATTCATTTACCTCAATCTCTGACTCAGTGTCAAGCATTTTTTGCTTGTCCTGTCTTCTTTGCAATCCAGGTCTGCCTTTTCAGTACCTCTGTGTGCCCACAGTGCTTACTGCAAGTGACCTTGCACGGTGCACTCCTGCAGTAAATGTCTGTTGAATAAATGGAAGACTTAATTCCTTGACGTTGTTTTAAAAGTGTTTACCATTACTCTTTTTAAAGGAGGAGCATGAAGTGAAATTTTAGAAGCAGTATGTTCGCTGTGACTGAGTTAACAAAATATCTAATTAATTAGAGCAATAGCAATAATAGCTACCACTGATTGAGATTTATCCTGTACCAGGCTCTGTGCCAAGCATTTTCTGGTTTTCGTCACTTAATTTTCCTGATAACTCTACACAGCTCTTCCTGATGACACAGCTCTTTGGTGACAGAACTGGGATTTGAACCCAAGACAGTCTGGCTGCAAATTCCTAGCTTTTAAATCACTGTCTTTCTGTGAAAGTTGGGGTTTCATGGCAAGACACCAAATTTAGACCACTCTGAAACTCCCTGGGAACACCAGGGAATCATCAATGAACAGGGCCCCACTTTTTATGTGAGGAAAGGGGAGTCCATTTACTAAGGCTGCTTCTCCACCCACAGCACAGACAGGCACCTCTTATTCCCTTGCTAACTCCAAAGATTCAGCTAATCCCTTTCTTTGGGTGGTTTGAGGCTTGTCTAGAAGGGGACAGATCATGAGTCATTTCAAGGTCCCTGCGTTCCTGAGATACTGTGAAAGGGATGGTCCCATGCATAAGTCATGAGACTGGCTGGGCAGACAATGGATTTCTGGTCATTTGCTGCAATTCTGTTTGTGTTTCCATAGGAAATATCCACACTGGCTAATGAGTTACAAGACATGGGCGCCACCACCAGAATAGGCCTCTACATCGGAGCAGGGGTTTCTGCTGGGCTGGCTCTCGTTCTTATCTCTGGTGCTGTAATTCTCAAATGTAAGTCATTTGATGGTGCTTCTCTCTCCATCTGATAAGGAACTGTTAATATAGGAACCAACACAAGCCTAAGATAGAACTATTAGTTTATATTTATACCTACAGGTGATTAGAATAAATACTCTTTAGTCCTTCCAAACCTCAACAATAATAATAGCTCATTTTTATTCAGTGCTTACCATGTAACAGGCATGTTTTATATTTATTATTGTCACCATCTCATATAAGGTGGATAGCACTGTTATTCCTATTCTCATAGCAGAGGAGAGTAACGTTTAGAGACAGTAAGCTTTCAAGGTTTTCTCAAGGTTTCAGAATCAATAAGTGGCAAAGCTGGAATTCGAATTCAAGCAGGTTGATTCTAGTACCTGTTTTTTTATCTTTTGTTAAGAAAATAAACCTTTTTAATTCATGAACATGTCCAGTTTTATTAGGAAGCACAACAACGACAATCACTTTCTTCTGTGCATTTTTCTATCTTATTTATTTCTCAGGCATGGTTCTTTAAAGAGGGGTAGCAGGTTCCTTTAACACTGGGTCATGCCCAGAGTCGCAGCGTTTGTATTTTCCTCCATTGTGACACTCAGCACACATATTTTATTTCTAAGTTACTTATCTTCATTAAAAAAAATTAAGTATGATTTATATGCAATAAACTGTATATTTAAAGTGTGTTCAACTTGATGAATTTCAATAGATGGTTTCACCCAGGAAACCATCACCGCAATCAATGCCCAAACACTTCCATCACCCCGAAAGCCTCACATACTTTTATAACTGTGATATATTCTCTTCTCTTTGGTGCAGAGACCAAGGCCTTATACCACTATTATTTTATCAGCTTTTCTTACTAATACATAAACATCAACTATGTGTAGGGTTACAAACCATTCCAAATTTTCCCAGGATTGAAGGAGGTTCCTAATGTGTGGGTTTTCAGTGCTAAAACTGGAACAGTCCAGGGAAAACTGGGATGAGTTGCTCATCCTGTGTGGCTTGAAGCTGCCAAGTGCTTTATGTGCATTAAATCCTCATAACTACCCTGTTGAGAAAGGTACTAATATTATTCTCATGTACCAGTTGGAGAACCAGTGTGCTAAAAGGTTAAGTAACTTGCCCAAAGCTACACAGTTAATTGATAGAGGATTTGAAACTGGGGCTGTCTTGCTCACCATTTTGTTACTCAGCCATTAATGGTAAATGGATTGCTGAGAGGAAGAAGCTACTCACCCCACTTACCTGGGTTTATGGAGAGATAGCAGTGGAGTTTGGAAATTGACCACATGAATATGGAGTCTACAGGTTGATAAGGAGCAATGACCACACCTGCTTTTTGAGTTTTGCCGAGGCCTGGATATTAGGGACTGTTCTGGTTTGTGTAGAGGGTATGCAAGCAGGGTGATGAGGAGTGGGAGAAGTCATGTTTTGTGCACACATATGATTACTCCCAAAACATGACTACATGGAGGAATAGATGGGAAAGTTGTATTCGATCTGCAGTCTTTTCCCTAGAAGTTGCTGGAGAAAATCATACAACCAAGGTGATAGGTTTTTAAGTCATGACATCAAAGCCATAAATTGGTACTCAGTAATGCCCAGCAATCCTGTATGTTTCTAGTGCACTGTCTGAGATGAGCATCACATACTTCATTGATGCTCAAATCTCCCTCGCCTCTCACTGCACTGATGTAGTATTAAAAGCCTGTTTCAACCACTTTGCCTCAGCCAAGACTTCGTTCTTCCTTTGATCACTTTCTCCAGAATCATCTCTCTCTCCATTCCTGTTTATGCTATTTTTATTAGTATAAAAATATGGCCTAGTTCACACATTTCTCTCCAGTGACTCCCATTTCTCTGCTCTCCTTTACAGCCGTATTTCTCAGATGAGTTGTTCCGACCTCTCACCCCTCCACACTCTTTAACCACGCCCCCTCCCAATTTAGCTTCTACACCTGAAGTGCCATGGAAATAGTTTCAGTCAAGCTCACCAGTGACCTCCATTTTGCTAAATCCTGTAGATACCTCTGTCTTCATTGTAGTACGCCTTTCAGCAATAACTAAGTTGATTCTCACTCATTCTAAAAAGTCTTCCTTCTCTTGGCTTCTGAAACACCAGTGTCTTCACTAGCCACACCTTTCGGTCATTTTTGTTATTTTCTCTTCTTCAGCATGATCTTTAGATGTTGTGATTCCCCAGGGCTGGCCCTTTTCCTCTCTCCATGCCCTCTGGCTGATGACGACCTATATTCCCATAGACTTAAATGTCATCCTTAATTTCTCTCTCCAGCACTCAAAGGTGTTGATACTGATTGGCCAGCTGTCCAGTTGTTATCTCCACTTAGATGTGTCCCACGTTGTGTCAAGAAAGGAGCTCTAGAGTCTATATTCCACCTTTTTAGAACCCAACCTCCCCCTCCCTGATCTTCTTCATCATAGTGTTTCATTATCATACATCTGGTTGCTTAAGCCAGAGAGCCAGAAGCCATCCTTGAATCCCCTCTTTCATCACTCCTAATACACAATCCAACTTCACTTTCCTGCACTTTCTCCAAATCATATCTAAAATCCATTCGTAATTCTGCATCTCTCTTTCACCTCCTTACTCTGAGGCAGTTCTCTACTTACCTCCTCATTTTTTCATACCTCCTTTTAATTCATTCTCCACACAGCAGCCAGAGTGATTGTCTTAAAACCCAGTCAGATCATATTTCTGGCCTTCAGTTATTTCCTATGTCTTAGAATAAAATCCAAACTCCTGATTATGACTTAGAAGGTCCTATAGTATCTAGCCCAGCCTCCCTCTTAGACCTTACCTTGTGCCACTCTCTTATTCCAGCCATGCTTTCAGTTTCAGCCACTCACTACTATCTTTACCAGGGCTTTACTCGATCCAGAATGCTCACCCCGGCTTTTCATTTGGCTGACTCATTCTCTTCTTTCAGAACTGAGCGTAAAGATCATTTCTTTTGAGAATTCTTTCCTGATTACCTTCTTGATTATCTATTCCAGTGCATTGTTGTTTTTTTTAAAAATTGAAATACAGTTGATTTACAATATTGTGTTAGTTTCAGGTATACAGCAAAGTGATTTCAGTTATATATATATAAAATATATAGATATATTTTTTCAGATTCTTTTCCATTATAGGTTATTATAAGATATTGAGGGCTTCCCTGGTGGCGCAGTGGTTGACGGTCCACCTGCTGATGCAGGGGACACGGGTTCGTGCCCCGGTCTGGGAAGATCTCACAGGCCGTAGAGCGGCTGGGCCCGTGAGCCATGGCCGCTGAGCCTGCGCGTCCGGAGCCTGTGCTCCGCAACAGGAGAGGCCACAGCAGTGAGAGGCCCGCGTACCAAAAAAAAAAAAATTGAGTATAGCTCCCTTGCTATACAGTAAATCCCTGTTGTTTATCTATTTTATTTATAGTGGTGTGTATCTGTTATTCCCAAACCCCTAATTTATCCCTACCCCCCCTTCCCTTTGGTAACCATAAGTTTGTTTTCTGTGTCTGTTCCTGTTTTATAAATAAATCCATTTGTATTATTTTTTAGATGTCACATGTGTGACATCATATAATATTTGTCTTTGTCTGATTTACTTCACTCAGTATGATAATCTCTAGGCCCATCCATTTTGCTGCAATACTTTTCTTTCTATTACATCACAATTTGAAATTATTTTATTTTTCCCACTTACTTTTTTTTTCTTAAATGCCTCTCTCACTAGAAGACAAGTTTCATGATGTCAGGGCTCACAGTTCACCTTTGTGTCCCTGGTGCTTAGCATACTACCAGACACGTAGTGGGCGCTCCCTACATTTGTTAAATATGAAAAATGCACCTTCATTACTTTCAGCATAGTTTATGTAATAAATCAAGACGCATATCAGTGGTTTGATTTAATTCAATCTAATAGGTAGACCAGACTTCCCTAAACAATCTTTGCCTCCAGGTAGCTCATTTTATTTATCTCATTTACTTTATGAAAGCATTTTAAATTGACTTTTCTTCGCCTTTTTACCTAGGGTATTCTGATAGCAAAGAGAAGATACAAAATTTAAGGTAAGAATAATGCGTGCAGTAGTAGAAGGTGGGAATCTTGGATATTCCTACTCTAATTTGGGCTTTGATCTTTGCTCTTAGAAGTCCTACCCTGAGACTTTGGGATCTAAATTTTTACTACTTCCTTTTTGCTTTAGGCCTAGATTTATGAAATGCAAATTTAACATGCTGCTCGGTTTTATTCTTGATCCCTAATCCCTCTAGCTTCTTTAGTCCTAAAGTTCAGGTAGAGAATTTGTCTCCCATTGATAGGAAATGCTTATATATTTCTGATTAAAGGGCTTTTTCAGTGAACTGACCCTTCAGCTGATTGAGTACTTACTACATCCGGGTTCTGGGTGGCCACTGGTTTATAGACGTGAACAAGAAACTCAGAATCTACTCTCAGGGCTTTTACAACCCAGCCCAGCTCTTCTTAACTCTGATTGCCTATTAGAATCATCCAGGGCACTTAAGCATACTATTGTCAACCCCAGAGCAAATAAATCAGAATCTTTGGGGATGAGGCCTAACCATAGGTATTGTTCTAAAAACTTTCAAGAAAAAAGTGATTCTGTCCACTGCATACTCCCTAAACCACTAATAATTTTAGACTAAATCTAGATCGTATAGTTATGAAGACAAAATAGTCTGCAGTAAAAAAGTCAAATAAGATCAAATAAAATATTTAATTATCAATGGCTTTATATTTTCTGTGTCAGTATTCTTTATTAGAGCTGAAACTTGAAATGTGGTAATATCAATAGGTAATATTTACATGCAATAATTCATTCTTTATGAAATTATTTGGTTAATGTTCATCTCCACCTATAAATGTAAACTCCATAGAAAATTAGGAACTTGTCTGCCACATTAACAACTGTATCTCCTAGCACACACCTAATTCTTAGTATGCGTTTGATATTTGAGGATTGAATGAATAAACGTTCCTTACAGCAGCCCTGTGAGATAGAGTACTTATTCCCATTTTATAGAGGAGGACCCTGAGACACTAAGTTTACTAATATACAGCCTCTAGGGGATTTTTGTGTTTTGTTCACTGTTGCATCTCTTGATGCATAGAACAGTATAAACACGTTAAATAGTTCTTGAATGAATAAATGAAAACAGCAAATTCAACTTACCCAAGATCACGTGGGTGGAAAGCAACAGAGGCAGAATTTGAACTCAAGTCTCATTGGATCCATAACACATTCATTTCTTTTACTTTTTGAAATTGTTCAAGCTGACATAATAATTGAAATAATAGTGCAAGGAACAGCAGAACCCTTCACCTAAGCATGTCATTTAATATTTTGTCACATTTACTTTATCTGTTTCTCTATTTACATACATATTTTTTTTTCTGAACCATTTGTAAAGGTGTTTCAGACATCTTGACATTTCACCTAAACACTTCAGTCTGCACTTCCTCAGAATAAGGACATTCTCTTAGATAACACAATGCCATTTTTATACCTAAGAAAATTCAGATTAATTTGAATTTGTGCAGTTATTCCCCAGACTATTTTCATTACTATTTTATGTTTCCCCTGCCTAGTCAGGACCTGATCAAGGATCATATACTGCCTTGGTGGCTATCTTTTCAGCAAAGCCCATTCTTTTAACTCTATTCCATGTTGCCTGGGATGCTTAACTCAACTGCATCACTTTATTTCCACAGCCTCATCACTTTGGCCAACCTCCCTCCCTCGGGGTTAGCAAATACAGCAGGAGAGAGGACACATCCAGAGGAAAACATCTATATCATTGAGGAGAACGTATATGAAATGGAGGATCCATACAAGTATTACTGCTCCGTCAGCAGTGGGCAGCAGTCCTGACAACCCCTGGGCTGTTGTCTTTCAACGCCACCAGATTCACCACTTCCTTTTGGGGTTTGGTGTTATCTTCTTTGAAAACTATGAGATGGCTCACCTGACTGGTTTTAGAGGTTCTGTCCTCGGCCACCGAGCAGAGTTTTTCCATGTTCTAAAGATAAGTAGCTCACCCGAGGATTGAACTGGGACCAGCATTGTACTTAGACAGGCACAACATTACCTCTGTGTTCCCGCCACCCAACTCGGAGGCTGCTAATCAGGGCATTAGAGCTCAAATGGGCTTTTATAGAGAGTAGGAATTCTTAATATGGGGTCTCTGGAATTCCAGATATTCAGTTATATGGTGTGTCCGTGAAGCTTCTGAAAATACAGGGGAAATTATGTGCTGAGATACGTGCGTGTCTTTTTTGGTACAGGAAGTCTAAAGGGGCCGCCGATTCTCAAAGAGCTCTGTGAACCATGGCAGGTTCGGAAACTATTGGAGTAGGAGTAGATGGTCTTGAAGGTTCCCTTTGAGTCTCAAGGTTGATGCTTCTTTGAATGTTGACTCTGTGGCAGTAAGTGCCAGTGCACAGCTCTCCTTGGCCTAAGTTAAGAAGACTGCCCAGCAAGGCCTGTGGTGTGGCAGGTGCTCCTGGAGAAAGAGGAAGTATGCTTAGTGTGTGTTGACAGGTTTTGCTTGGGGTGCACTCAGAGGGAAAGATCTCTGACCAACTTCTCCATTCATGGAAAGAACTTGAGCTGTGTTTCTCACAAAAGAAGAAGTAGTGACTGGGACACAAATTCTGTTTCCTGGTGGAAAGTAGGTAAAGGGCTCCAGCCATCTGTATTTGTCCCTGTCAGATCCCCTGATGGAAAGACAATGGCCCTTAAGCTTCAGTTCCAAGATGGTAGAGAGTAGGTCTATCTTGCCTATTTGCTTCCTCCCCAGTCTTGGCACAGCTCTGACACATAATACGGATAGAAACTTACTAAACATCTTTGGAGTGAAAAAATTAAAGAAGCAGAAAGGTAGATTTCTGGGAAGACTTTTCCATTGGAGAGCTCAGACAGAGCTTCACTTGTTGGGGAACTCAAAAATACTCCTAAGCTCCCTTTTCTGCTCTTGTCCAGCATCTGCTCTTCTCAGCATCCTTTCCCTCTCAGGCCCTTGGAAGTGTGTTATTGTCTTTTTTCCCCTTTCTGCTGAATGAATCAACAATAGGGACCTGTCGCTGCCTGAAAACTGCCTTCCCCAGGTGATGACTGAGCTGCTACTGCGTTGCATGCAGGAGATGTTGGTCACCAAGGATGCAGGCAGCCTGTCTGTTGCAGTGTTTGGGCTGCATCTGGGCAGTATTGGGAAGCACTGGCTTTCTACAGGGAGATCAGTTTGCAAAGTTCCAGGCAGTAGCTTTTAAACAAGCTGAAAAATTAAGTGTTTTAAATTTATGAAATTCTAGAGGGAAGGGACCACAGAAAACATATGAACCAGATTAATGATTCCCCCACAAAAGGGATTCTTATTCTGCAAAAATCCTTACACAAGAATATATATACAAAGGCGATCATTGCAATGGTGTTTGTGAGAGATGTTTTCCATCAGTTGGGGAATAATTGGTTATTGTGGTATGTCAACACACTGGCACAAGTAAAAAATTAGGTGGCTTCATCATTGAGCTGTTTTGCTAATTCAACAAATATTAAGTGCTTACTCTGTGCCAGGTTCTCTGGTGCTGGGATCATAGAGAGAGACCAAATAGACACATCCCTGACCCCACAGAACTTCTGATTGATCTGACAGGAAGGATGATTTCATTCAGTCAGTCATTCTTTCAGTGAACATTTTTTGTCGACTGCTTTGTGCCAGACGCTGTTTTAGTTCCTAGAAATATAGCAGTTAAGGAAACAGACAAGATCCCGACTCTCACAGACCTTGTGTTGCTTGTCAAAGGAGAAATCTATATTGCTAAGTCAAAAGAAAAAAGAGTTCTAGAATAGTATATATAGTTAATGCTAATTTTTTTTTTTGCCTTTAAATAATCCAGAAGAATATTCCCAAATTAATATGGTTATTCCACAAGGGCAAATAGTCAAAAGATAGTTTCACTTTTTGCTTTTATGTGCTTCTATAATTTGAATTATTTTATCCATTTTTTGTAATAAAAAAATAGATTTAAATACTGTAGCAATGTTTTCCTGTCCACCCTCCTCCTCATAGAAAGAAATTAAGACTTGGATAAGTTAAGTTCAAGGTCAAGGCGGGCAGTAGAGTGCGCCAGCACTCTAGACGTGTCTAGAGTGTTCCAGCAGAGATTGGAACCCTGGTTTTCAGGGTAGGATCCACTCTACATCAATTATTTGTAATACAGAAGATGGCAGAAAGGGTAACAAACTATCAAGCTACCCCAGAGGGTCTGGGCAATGGCAAGTGGTCACTTAATTAAAAACAATGTAAAAAGATTGAATGTGTGGTTTGCTCTTAGAAGTGCTTAGGATTTTTCTCCCAGAGCTCTGCCATAGAGACCCACAGTACAAGAAGAGGCTCCTTGATCTCTTCAAACTGAAAAATTAAGGTCTTACCGTGTTTTAACTGCCTATCACTTCTAGTGTTAGAATTCCCCAGGCAGAAATTCCAAGTGGTTTAACCTGTCATCAATTTATTTGGGGGCATCCCTTCATGCCTAGTCCCATATAAATTTAATTCTCATTTAAGCTTGAATTTTAAAAAAAACTGAATACAAATTAATTTTCTGTCCAGATTTCTACTGAGAAAGTCTTTCTAGAGGTAAGTAGAGATGCCCTTCGTGCTGTAATTTTTAAGATTTTTGTCATCCTTTTCTGGGGCTCAGTTGGGAAGTGGGAAAAAGGAGAGGGGCAGCTGGAACACTTGGTTGGAGGGTTCTCAAGCTTCAGGAGGGCTCAGATTTTGGCCTATTTTCAGTGGAAAACCTATGCAGTGGAGCAATATGAGTTTCAGGATTCTAGATCCTGTATCTTTTTTTTCAGTTGTATTGACTAATTATAAAGGTCATTCCAAGTCACTCTTTTATTAGTAGTAGTTTTCTTTTGTAAATTCTTAGTCAAACCCCTTCTGCTTATGGTGTGCCTCTTTTTCCAGTGAAAGCAGTGATGTTTAAAGAAAAAAAAAGTTATTTAAGCTATTCAGGTGTGGTGGTGGCACTGGGACATCTGTTTAAATACCCACATTATTTTAATATAATTGTTTTGTGGATGGGTCACCTTTGGAAAATATTTTATTATAGCTTTATAGTCTATACTTAACAACCTGCTTCATGATAAGTTGACATGTCCTTTGTAATTTCTACATTTTGAAATTGTACTTTTTCATGCATTTTACACCTAGTTTGTGTAAAATAGAAATATTTCACACTCCAATGCAGTGTTATCTTCTTTTGGTCAGTTCTGAAATATCCTTATATCCATATATCTATATTGAATCTGTTTTAAATTTTATTACCCAGTTTTACTTGCCATTCCTGTTAACTTGCATGCAGAATTTAGTTTTTATTCTGGAAACCCTTAAGTAAAAAGTAACAACTGTAAAAATATAGGTGAAGGTTGCCATACTAATAATGTAGATTTTTTATTCATTTCTTTATCCCAAAGTTCACCACAAGATCTTAGCAAAAATCTCTTGACCTTAATCTGAGGGCTGAAGCAAGGAGCCAATGGTGAGGGGCTTTGAAAGCTGCCAGCTGCCCAGGCCTCAGTGAAGTCCTCAGAGGGGTGATGCCTTTCCTGTTCTCTCCAGCAAGCCTCCTACTCCAACAAAAATTCCTGGTAGCTAAGCAGCAACCAGACAGCCTCTAACCACCAGGGAAGAAAGGAGTTTTCTGAATAGATGGAATTTCAGGTGAGAACTAAGGAATATGACATTTAGTTATCCTAGCTGCCTTATTTCAAGCAAATGTGTTTACAAGGAACTCTGGGTGGGCAAGCTAACTTGGAGCCAATTGCTTTACAGTACGTTGAGACTCTGAGTAAGAATCTCTAAGCAGAAAATACATCTTGTTAGAGTGCTTGTTTCCCTTTTTTTTTTTAGGTTTTTATTTTGAAATAATTTGAGATTTGCCGAAAAATTGCAATGATAGTACAAAGAGTTCCTGTATTCAGCAGTTTTTTCAGTTAACAGCTTATATAACCATGGTACCATTTGTCAAAACTAAGATCTTAACATTGGCACGTGACTATTAACTAAACTACAAATTTTGCTTGGATTCCTACTACTGGCTTTTAAATTTTTAAATTAAGTGCTTTTTGAAAAATAGAGTTTAAATTCAAGGTGAAAGTCCCTATTCCGTGTCCTCTCTATCAAAATTTCTCCCCAGTCCTACTCCCCAGGAACAGTCCTTCTAGGCCAGTAGAAATACAGTGTTGTTGTTGTTTTTCATTTTAAGTCTTCACAATCCAGTGAGTGTTTTCCATTTAGAGCACATCTCCATTCTGACTAGTCACATTTTAAGTGCTCAACAGCCACATGTCGCTATTGGCTCTAGAATTAGCAAAGTTCTGGGCCATTCTCTATTTTTTGTCTCATATACAGACACACACACACACACACACACACACACACACACACACACGCACACACGGTAACCTAATTTCTTCCACTGCTTATAGAAGACCATCGCTCCATGTCAGAATGGGACAGCAGCCTTTACTTAGATAGCTATGTAGTATTAAGTAGAACAAATGTGCATAACCTATTAAATCACTTTTGCATGCATAGATGTTTAGTTGGGTTTTTTCCACCCCCCATTTCAAATAAGGCTGCAAGGAGCACCCTTTATTCAAAAACCTATGTGCATTTGTGTACTTCCAATGTATATGATTCTGGATATGGAAATGCTGTGTCAAAAGATGTGATTGTATTTGAAGTATCATGACAATAGAACAGTAGTATATACATATATATATATATATATTTTAACATCTTTATTGGAGTATAATTGCTTTACAATGGTGTGTTAGTTTCTGCTTTATAACAAAGTGAATCAGTTATACATATACATATGTCCCCATATCTCTTCCCTCTTGTGTCTCCCTCAGAACAGTAGTATATTTTTGAACAAATATACCAGTCAGTGTATTACTAAATGCATATTATCTTTCTCAAGGCAGTCATTTTAGAAAGCAATTTATTTCAACAGTGTTCCTTTCACTCAAAGTAATTTGGTTTTGGTTTTTGAAATTTGACTGAAGAATCAGTTTAAGCTAAAATAACTAGGCCAAGTGACTCTCGTAGGCCTTATTCCTTTGTAGTCACATTTAATATTTATTCACTCATTTATTTCCTCCCTCCCTACTCCCCTCCCTCCATTCCATCCATCCAGTTCCACTTTTGCTTTCCTAATAGTTTGTTCTCCTCACACAGCAGCCTAAGTATTTTCTTTATCTTTTTTAAAACTCATCAACCAGGTTCAAATACTCTGTTATTTAAAACCTTTCAACAGCTCCACCAGGGCCTGAACTTTCTTCTGACCTCACCAACCCCTCCTTTTTTTGTTGTTTCATCAACACTGGTTTCCTTTCTGCTTCTAGAACAGACCAAGTTCTTTCCGGTTCCAGCACCTTTTTTAGTGAACTTGTGTCCCTCTGTTTAGAATGCTTCTTTCAGACTGTTTGCAGAGCTGCCTTTCTCATCTTTGAGAAATATCATCTTAAATATCATCTAAGAGCTTTCCCTGAACACCCTATCAAAAGTGCCAACCTGCCCATCTCTATTCTAGTTTATTTGCTACGTAGTTTGTTTGAATCTGAAATTCTAATTGTTTACATTTTTGTGATTTGTCTCCCCCAGCCCTCAACTGGAAAGTAACTGTCACTTATCTTATATCTTAAGGACCTAGTGCAATGCTTGACCTGTAGTGGGTGCCAAATAAATATTTGTAGATGGATTGAATGAATGAATGTATGCCTGCTGTACTACAGACTCAAGCCACAATACAGGCACCACAGATACTACAAAGATTTGTTTTTCCTTCAAGGAAGTCAGAGTCCATCAGGACAGCATGATGGCCAAGCAAATGATTATAATAAAAGGCAATAAGCTTTGGCAGACCTGCATACTAGATTCTGAGCGATGCAGAAAAGCAGTTTTTGGTGATTTCTTTTTCTTTTTCCTGAAAATACTAATCCTTGTCTTCACCACTTCTTTAATTTAGCTCTGTAAAATTCCAGCTGACTCTCATTGAATAAGGATAGCCTGGCACATAGCAGACGCTCAATAAATATTAATTGGGTGAATGAATTAAGTGATACAGGTGACATGGATTCCAACAGCGGACCTCCAAAAACCATATAGTGACCCAATGTATTTCCTACTTTGTAGAAAAACATGTGATTTGCAGTGTAAGCCCTTGTATATTTATTAAAGCATTATTTTATAATCGTTCATCTTTCTGGAGGCTTGGTGATGTCTGAATGTTGCTTTAGGCAACTTAAATTGCTTTCTTTTCTGTCTATCTGGGATAAAGAAAAAGATGGTTGTAATTAGGCTGTGAAAAACATGTTACACAAATGTAAAAGACTTCCACTTTTGTAAGAACCTGCAGTTTTGTTTTCTTTAGTCAAAACCCTTTACGTGTATTATATAAGCAGTACATTGGTACATTCTTGTTGTAAAATGCTCAAATGATACATAAATATATAGCCTTCAACTGAAAGTCTCCCTTGCCTCAGCATGTTTCCCTACCACAGAGGACACTGAATAGTCTGATGGGTATCCACATACATCTTTGCTGTGACTTTTCCATACAGGTACATATGCATATACATACACTGTCACCCTATCACAGTGTTGTACAAAAATGGGTTCCCACGAAATAGAACTGTTTTTTTCCCTTACTATTTCTTGGAAATAGTTCCATGTGAGTGTCCCAATAAAAAGTCGACATTCTTTATCAACATAGATAGTTAACAAGCAGAGGGTTCTGTCAACATTGTGTTAAGTCCCAGTGCTCACCACCAACAGGGTGCCTTGACAAAGGTTTTGACAGAGCTCAGCATACATTTTGAATAATTGCTACTAGCACAGGAGTTCACCTGGTGCCCAAGTCATGCAGTGGTCTTGGTTTGGGAGACTGCTGAGTCCTTTAGAAAATTCCCCTAACCCTGTCTGATAAAAGCCCAATTTTATTATGTTTTTTTGATCCACCCATCTTCCCTAAAATGGATGTAGAGGAAATGGCTCACAATCATGTGTTATTGCAGCAAGGCACACTGGCTAAAACTGACAGTCTTCATCCCAAAACAAATCTGTTGTCAATGTTTTTAAGTAGAAAGCATTGTTTTGGTTTTGGGAAGGAAGAAAAAGGACCCATCATCTCATAAGTTCTTGGGGAGATGTTCTGCTTTACACAAGGCAGTGCCCTCTAGCTGTGTGAGCAGGAGCTCAGCTCACATTCCATTTTCTGACATCCTTGTCACTCACAACTTCAAAACCCCAAACATCAATGGACATGGTATTAATATCTGATATACAGTTTATATCATGGTATATAAATTGTATTGGGGCACAGTGTAGCTCGACTCCATTCTTTTTTTTAAATTGAAGTATAGTTGATTTACAATATTGTGTTAGCTTCAGGTGTACAGCAAAGTGATTCAGTATATATATATATATATATATATATATATATATTATATGTGTGTGTGTATATTTCAGATTATTTTCCATTATAGGTTATTACAAGATAATGAATATAGTTTCCTGTGCTGTACAGTAAATCCTTGTTTCTTATCTATTTTATATATAGTAGTGTGTATCTGTTAATCTGATACTCCTAATTTATCCCCTCACTTTCCCCTTTGGTAACCCTAAATTTGTTTTCTATGATGACTTCATTCTTACTGAAGGTGGTGACTTGTTTTCCTAAACTTTCAAGGGTAGAGACTCTGGGTTTTCTTTGTCTACTTAGAATGTTCCATTGCTTAGTATGGTGTGCTCGATAAATATTTGGTGAAGTAATGTTTGTTGAGGGAGAAGAACCTGGCTTTCACTTCTGCAACTGCCCTGAGTGACTTCTAAGGGTCCTTTTCTCTATTCCTCTCTTTGGTTCTCAGTTTATTCACATATAACTCAAGGGGTTTGGCTCCAGGTAGTTAAAGGTCCCTTCATGTATAAACAGTCTCAAAGTCCATATGACTTTTCAGGCCTAGAGTCCAACCCCAAATTAAGACCTGTATTGAATCTTTTGAAAACATCCTACATCAAAAATACTAAAAATACCTAGGAATAAAACTGCCTAAGGAGGTGAAAGACTTGTACTTGGAAAACTACTGAAGATGACACAGATGGAAAGTTATACTGTGTTCTTGGATTGGAAGAATTAATATTGTTAAAATGATCATACTACCCAATGCAGTCTACAGATTCAATACAATCCCTACCAAAATACCAATGGCAGCTTTCAAAGAACTAGAAACAATTTAAAAATTTATATGGAAATATGAAAGACCCCAAATTGCCAAAACAGTCTTGAGAAAGAAGAACAGAGGTGGAGGAATCACACTCCCTGACTTCAGACTATACTACAAAGCTACAGTAATCAAAACACTATGGTACTGGCTCAAAAATAGACACATAGATCAATGGAAGAGAATAGAGAGCCCAGAAATAAATCCACACACTTATGGTCAATTAATCTATGACAAAGGAGGTAAGAATATACAATGGAGGAAAGACAGTCTTCGATAAGTGATGCTGGGAAAACTGGACAGCTACATGTCAAAGAATGAAATTAGAATATTCTTTAACACCACATGCAAAAATAAAGTGGGTTAAAGACCTCAACGTAAGACCGGAAACCATAAAAGTCCCAGAGGAACACATGGGCAGAACACTTTGACATAAAACATAGCAATATTTTCTTGCATCTGCTCCTAAGGCAACAGAAATAAAAGCAAAAATAAACAAATGGGAACTAATTAAACTTAAAAGCTTTTGCACAGCAAAGGAAACCATTACAAAACAAAAAGACAACATAGTGAATGGGAGAAAATATTTGCAAATTATATGACCAATAAGGGGTTAATATCCAAAATATATAAACAACTCATACAACTCAACATCAGAAAAACAGCCATATTAAAAAATGGGCAGGGCTTCCCTGGTGGCGCAGTGGTTGAGAGTCCGCCTGCCGACGCAGGGGACAGGGGTTCGTGTCCCGGTTTGGGAAGATCCCACATGCCACGGAGCGGCTGGGCCCGTGAGCCACGGCCGCTGAGCCTGCGCGTCCAGAGCCTGTGCTCTGCAACGGGAGAGGCCACAACTGTGAGAGGCCTGCGTACCGCAAAAAAAAAAAAAAGAAAAGAAAATGGGCAGAAGACCTGAATAGACATTTTTCCAAAGAGTACATGCAGTTGCCCAATAGGCACATGAAAAAATGTTCAACATTGCTTATTATCAGGGAAATGCAAGTCAAAACCACAATGAGGTATCACCTCACACCTGTCAGAATGGCTATTGTCAAAAAGAGCAACAATAACAAAAAATGTTGGTGAGGATGTGGAGAAAAGAGAACCCTCATACACTGTTGGTGGGAATGTAAATTGGTGCAGCCTCTGTGGAAAACAGTATGGAGGTTTCTAAAAAACTAAAAATAGAACTACCATGTGACCCAGCAATTCCACCCCTTAGTATAAATCTGAAAAAAAAAACAAAAACAATGATTCAAAAAGATAACATGCACCACCATATTCATAGCAACATTATTTACAGTTGCCAAGATATGGAAGCAACCTAAGTGTCCATCAGCAGATGAATGGATAAAGAAGATACGGTGTGTGTGCATATATATATATATATATATATATATATATACACACACACACACACACACACACAATGGAATACTACTCAGACATAAAAAGTAATAAAATTTTGCCATTTGCAACAACATGGATGGACTTGGAGGGTATTATCCTAAGTGAAATAGGTCAGACAGAGAAAGACAAATACTGTATGATATCACTTATATGTGGAATCTAAAAAATAAAACAGACTAGTCAATACAACCGAAAAGGAAACAGACTCACAAATATAGAGAACAAACTAGTAGTTACCAGTGGAGAAAGGGAAAGGGGGAGGGGCAATATAGGGGCAGGAGATTAAGAGGTATAAACTGTTAGGTATAAAATAAGCTACAAGTATATATTGTACAACACAGGGAATGTAGCCAATATTTTATAAGGACTCTAAATGGATTATAACCTTTAAAAATTGTGAATCAGTGCATTGTACACCTGTCACTTATATAATATTGTACATCAAATATACTTCAATAAAAAATAAAAGCAGCCTAGCAGAGAACAAATACTATTCCAGCTCACTAAGATCTCCTGGTAATCTATTTAGTAAGTGGATCAAATCCAGCAAAAAGACTGACAGACTGGAGAAGCTTGACTTTTAAAGATACTTCCCAACATTCTTATGTAAAGGTGTGGCTAAGAGATAAGGAATAGAATTCCATCTTTATCCGTAAAGAGAAAAGAGAAGGAATCAGCGACAGACCACCAGAGGAGCTGGAAAACTACCTCCTAACTCACTGGTAAGTAAATCCTCTGGAAACTTATGCTGAAGAGAAAACTGGAACTTTGCTGCTTGAACCTTCTCGGTATTATATGGGGTCTTAGGACAATGATGACTGAGCCAATAGAAATTGGGGTAACTCATATAAAATAGATTTGGTTTTCTTGGGAGATAGGTTCTCATTTAAATGGAATCATGGACTTACACATCGGAATTGTTGAAGCTTTTCCTGGGCAACATCATTGAGGGGAGCAGAGGGGAAAAAGAAACCTCAGCAGAATGGAGTGGTACCTTTGGAGGAAGACATACTTATTGAGGCTCTCTTGAAAGCTGTGTGGGGAATTCCCTGGCGGTCTAGTGGTTAGCACTCCGAGCTTCCACTGCAGGGGACATGGAGTCGATCCCTTGTCAGGGAACTAAGATCCTGCATGCCACGTGGCAGGGCCAAAAAAAAAAAAAGAAAGAAAGAAAGCTGTGTGACTTAGAGTCAATGCATCCATTTGCGGAGCCTCTCATCTGTTAGATGGGTGTTATACAATATCATGGAAATGGGAGTATGTGTGTCTGGAGCACAGCTATATTAGCAGTTTTGTTCATCAACGTCTGTGATTTGTACATTTAAAATATGTGTAAAGTGTGAAGGAGGAGCCTAGTATTGGCTTCTGACTTTTGCAGATTTGGTAGTATTCTTGTATGTGTTAGAAACTTGACCTTGCAAAGATTAGCAAGTACAAAAGTTTGACTTGGTTGGAGTTTTGTGAGGCTTGCCATAGAAGGGTGTGGCCAGTTTGGGAAGGTGGGCAGCTTTTAGAGTTTGGAATTTGGCCTTGGCGAACCATTAAATGCTTGAAGGTGGGGAAGAT